GCGCTCGCCTTCTGCAGCGGAACCCCTTCTAAGCCGTTGTTCTGTCGGCCATTCAATGAGTTGTTGTGGTATTTGTCGTCATTTCGTTGGTTCCGTTGGTTTGACGACAGATAGGATCGCGACGTATAAGACGTGGCGTTTGGTCTGCAAGTGATCACCATTTGGGACGCAATGCCATCCGAGGCCTCACCGTTCGCTTTGCTCTTCGGCTCCTCGGATCTGGTCTTCACGTAAGACATTGTCTTCTAGTCGTTGGCCTTCAGACCAAACCATCGATGATAATGAAAGTCTGAAGGATTTCATGAGACACTGCCATCAGAAATGAGACAATCAATGGCTTCTTAAGGGAACAGACCTTTTGATCACATCTTTCGTCACATTCTTAGCGTTCAATTGAAGGCAAATGAGAGACAAATGAATCGTAAAAATAATTATAAGTTTTTTGGTCAACAATATTAGCGATTGTTTTGAGTTTACAGTGAATTCAACGCAAAACTGATAACCATTTCATAGATAACTGAATGCATTGAAAGCAATGAAGAGTCGATTCATACGAATAGAGTATTCAATAAACAATTAATTGTTGAATAATTTGTTTGCATTTCATTTGATTCGCACTACAAATGAATTAATGTTTGCTGAGAAACACTCCATACAAACAGACAACACATTAGTCTTACGACACACACAGAGACATCTCGTGGCGAGATATCACACAAAAGTGGTGTAAGTTTTGCCAACAATTCTTTGGGTATTCAGTATAAGAATAGTCTCGTATAGAGGTATAGGAATCGGAGGCATACCTGTGCCACCAATTTGTTATCACTCAACACTTTGGCACCAATTTATTGATATGATATGAAGTTCTCAATTGTTAGTTAACATAACATATTATACTCACTAATACTTCCCAACCTCTTATCATGCATTCAATAAATAAGAAGTGTTGATTCCGTGGTAATCAATGTGTCCAGGGTGCATGTGCTATCATTTATAAACCCTTTCAATTATATAAAATGGTTGTTATGTAACCAAATGATCCCACTTTGAACTCTCGGTGCACTTATGTCCGCCAATAGTATACGAAAATCATTTAATAAATCATTTGAATATTTATTTAGTATTTCGAAATAAATTTAATTTTCGCGTTTAAGTCATCGAAAAATGTAATTTTAATATAAGTTATTATATATTGGTTTTAATACAAATAAGTAATAAAAATGTTACAAAATTAGAAAAATTATCGGGTTTTGGTTGAAATAACCTAAATATATTGTTTAAGTCATCGAAAAATGTAATTTTAATATAAGTTATTATATATTGGTTTTAATACAAATAAGTAATAAAAATGTTACAAAATTAGAAAAATTATCGGGTTTTGGTTGAAATAACCTAAATATATATAAATTTTGAATAATATTAATATAAAAAATGCTCAAATGGAAAAATACAATAAGTAATGAAATATTTAGTTTAAAAATAATCATTACATTTTGATTTGATTGCCCCTTGTCTCGGATTCTTGTTTTTCGTTATAATATTTATCAATTTTATGATTAAAACTATTGGAAAATATAATAACTTATTTTTATAAATATTATACAACATATAAATTAAGACATATAAGTATTTAAATAGACATAAATTAATACATAAAAAGTGGACAAACAATAAGTGACTTAAATAAAGTAGATTTCACAGGACATATTTGATGACATTCATAGTGTATTAACATTAATTGTGGACAAAATATAGATTTGAAAATAATTAAGTTCTAAAATTAAAGTAAGTTTTACACAAAAAAATACATTTAAAAATAATTGCAGTAAAGACTAGGAATTAATTTAAATATTCAAAATATGAAGTTTTGATATTAAATACAAACAATTTAAAACTAATATTATATTTTACAAAATTGTTAACTCATTAGCATATTCAATCAAATGGTTTCAAACTTTGTTTCAAACGTTTAAAACTCATGATAAATAGCAACAGATATTAACAATTTTCGGGCGGAATGTTCTGTATATAAGGCACGGCCTCTTTAAACAACTATTTTGTATGTGATTTACATTACATTGTATTTAAATTATTTAAAATAAAACGACAGGAATCGTCAGTACAGCATATGGTATATAAAGTAAAATTAATAATAATAATAATGATTAGACTAAATTAATTTTAAATATAAGGCTTTTACGTTTAAGGCACTCATTGTATAGCCAACTAAAGGGATAAACCCTTTAAAAAATAATTTTCTATTCATCAAAAATAATGTAATTGAAAATTATATATATGAAATGTATTAATGTTTTTAAAGTATTATAATTTTACAAATAAATTACTAAATTCATAAAATAGTGACTCTATGTCTGGTAAATGAAAATTCATGAATGGATTGGATTTCCTGTGAAATTCAAACTAAGAATGGATTCAATCGTCTGGAGAAGCGCTGAGGAGAAGGCGTTTTGGAGTAGATTTGCATTCATTTAGTAAACGCCTGATTAATGAGTAAAAACTTTCAGTCTATTTACACACAAATTCATTATTTCTATATAAATATTAGTCTTAATTAATATGAGAGTAAATTATCTGAATTAGAAAACTATTATCATTAGAATTGATGTGAAAATAAACACATTATTCAATAGAAATGATTACTAATGGAAGACAACTAGTATTTTGTTGCTATTAATCGTATGTTTAAAATATCAAAGGAAAAAATAAGGCAATGGATTAAATTAATAATAAAATTATATATTCATTTCATTACATAATTATATAATATCGACAATAATATGGTATTTTGTGTACTCATTGCTCAGTTTGAAATTAATATCACTATTCGTATTAATTAATATAATATTATAATTAAGTTGTTTGATTAAAAATGAGAAAATGATTTGTCATATTTATATATAAAATACAGATTCAATTAATATAAAATTAAATAAATTATTTTTTCATTTAATACAAAAAATAGTTTTAAAGGACTGATTAGTTTACTTAATAATTGATTTTTGTTATAACAAATGAACGGCTGATTCAACAAGTTCACTTTCTTATCACTTTCTATATTTAATAAATAATTAACAAAAAAGTAATGTTTCTTATCATATGCTAAACAAAATTTGATTATCTTTTTATACATAACAAACAATTGATTTGATTCTCAATTCATTACTTATTAATACAATCGATTGCATCGAGAAATGCAGAACAGGTTCACAATTTCATTATTTGTCTAAAATGGGTGGCAATCAAGCCATGAAGAGTTCAATATACCGGTTCCCTATGTTCTGGCGATTCTTCTCTTGTATTGCACGCTCGGCGTCGGCCCGCGAGGGGAACGTCACCACAGCCTCGCCATTGGGTCTGCCGTCACCGTTACGCTGCAGTTGAATGCAATCCGTGGTCAGCTATTAGCGTAAGATTGGATCAGTGTTTAAAGTCTCCATAATTATTATTTTATGATCAGTTTATAAAGGTTAATCAGTACTAATGTTTCATTTTTGTTCTTAATCTATGTTTATCTCAGTTTTAAGACCTGGAGTGAAAATATTTTGCTAGCTTATCGATAATATCAATTAAAATGTGTTTCAATTGGCTTTCAGTGGAAACAAAAGAGCATTACATGAAGAGAGGGTCACATCTAAAAGCGTTGAGAACGAGTCATATGTACAGTGAGTATAAAGAGGGCAATATTTGCACCAACTCTTGAAAGCAGTGATAAAAATGCATACATTGAGACACTACTTAAATACAGATAAGAAAGTAAATGTCTAGAAATGAAATGATTATAAGTGTTGGAAATGAGAGCAAAAGAGGTGCCAATGAAGTTGCGAGATGCAATGCCCGACCCATAAGTGTTAATAAGAAATGAGAAATGTTAAGACCCCTAACCTCCCAACCATTAAAGAAGTTAAGCTGTATTGCACGCTCGGCGTCGGCCCGCGAGGGGAACGTCACCACAGCCTCGCCATTGGGTCTGCCGTCACCGTTACGCTGCAGTTGAATGCAATCCGTGGTCAGCTATTAGCGTAAGATTGGATCAGTTTGTAAAGTCTCCATAATTATTATTTTATGATCAGTTTATAAAGGTTAATCAGTACTAGTTTAATTTTTGTTTTTAATCTAGAAATGTTTATCTCAGTTTTAAGACCTGGAGTGAAAATATTTTGCTAGCTTATCGAGAATATCAATTCAAATGTGTTTCAATTGGCTTTCAGTGGAAACAAAAGAGCATTACATGAAGAGAGGGTCACATCTAAAAGCGTTGAGAACGAGTCATATGTACAGCGAGTATAAAGAGGGGAATATTTCCACCAACTCTTGAAAGCAGTGATAAAAATGCATACATTGAGACACTACTTAAATACAGATAAGAAAGTAAATGTCTAGAAATGAAATGATTATAAGTGTTGGAAATGAGAGCAAAAGAGGTGCCAATGAAGTTGCGAGATGCAATGCCCGACCCATAAGTGTTAATAAGAAATGAGAAATGTTAAGACCCCTAACCTCCCAACCATTAAAGAAGTTAAGCACATCTTTAAGTTGAACAGAATAAGGCAATCCTCTCATGTTTACCATAGTTGGGCCCGAATGGGCGTAGTATGTGGTCGGAGAGACTGGTGGTGATGGGTATGGCCAGTAGATTAGATTAAATGGATTAGGATAAGCGAATGAGGCCGGGATTCTGGCCGGTGTCGGAGCTGTTGACACGGCTGTTGGCATTACTTGCGATGTTTGTACGGGATATGGATAAGCGCCGTAAGGCGGTGGTAGTAGTGTTCCTCCTGTCCACAGAAATCATGTCATTTCGTTGCCAATCATTTCATTGAATACAATTTGAGACAAACCTGGAGATAGGAGTTGTCTTTGTACAGGAATACCGCCCGTCAGCACCAGATTCATGTCGTCCACAGAGCACTGAAACACTTCTATATATCGTTGCTTTTTGCCAAATATCATATACCGATGATGTCTCTGTTGGGCCGCCAATAGAGCCGACTGTTCCGAATCCATTTGAATGAATGCTTCACCCGATGGCTGACCCTATCGTACAAAGTTATGGTTAGCTCAGGTACAGCTTTACTAGCAATACAGATTACATTACTAGGTACTTATAGACAAATTTGCAATACCTGTGCATTATATACCATATGTACCCCTTGAAAGACAATATTCTTCGCGTGTTCTCCTAAGAACTCAAGGATCTGCTCGACCTGTGCCTCATAAGGCAGACCTCGCAGTCGAATACAGTCTTTGCGAGAACCGGACGGTAAGAGTTGTTGAGGTATGAGTGGGACGTGTGGTAGACTCGCTATTAAGGGTAGTTGGGGCTCAAAAGTTCTCGGATCCATACTTCGGTTGAGAACCTGTTGGATGACCATTGGGTTAGACATTGTGTTTAGAGAAAGACTGTTTGAAAAGAGCTCGACTGTTGAAATGTACAGCAAAATGTGTTCAATGTTTTGTGTTTAATGTTTAATGAATCAGTAGTGCCGTTCAGGCAGTGGTTAAAACTTAGTAAAAAAGTCGTCAACTTTCACTCCTAAGGACACATCTGTTAGGAAGACTCTAATGAGAGTCATATCATAAGCTTGAAACTGAAACATTGTGTTCAACGACTAATACCGGTCTTTATTCCTAGTTTTTAGTAAATACTTTTTACTCAATTTTCATGGCTTTTGCATTGACTTTATTTGATATTTAGGTGAGTCTAATGTATAAAACATTTACACAATTGTATTCAGCATTCAATATGTATGCATCCCTCAGATGTTCCTATGCTCTGCCACCTGCAAAACCAACGCTCTAATAGTGCACTTCACAGGTGTTGTGTAAAACTAAAGCTAATTTTACTTCACTTGCATTAATAGAGAGCATATTTGCAACATTCAATCCAAATGTGGTCTATTCTAATGCCAAATGTAACAAATGATGGTCTCATCACTACATCCTTACCACGGAATCAGTATTTAGTGACAAAAACTAATTATTATTAAATTACCGACATATCTATTTAATATAAAAAAGATTTAACTTACTAGTTAATAGAATATTTCTCTAATATTCAAGTTATAAATGTGATATTCATAATTCTAGCCATTATCAAATACATTTAGCAATATTTAATGACAATATAACGTACAATTTTATATTAAATTTTGAATCTCTGGATATGGTTTGAAGATTTGTAACAATAAAAGGCATAAAAAGAATAATTTCTTAGAATATGATTGTAGTCTAGACTCTAGACTAGAGGTAGAGTGGAGTCAAGAAAATCATTTGCGAGTCGAGTGTTTGTAAGAAAACTATGTTTTGTGAAATTGAATTGAGAATTATTTTCTATAAAACTGTCAAAAGAGTGTTGTGTTCAGAAAAAATGAGACTCAAATAATAGACCCATTGATGGGATGGTAGAGACAGAAAAAATGAGACACAAGTGCTTACCTGTTGAACTTCAGCGGTTGTACTTCTGAAGAGTTCTATATATCGGGCGCCAATCACTTCCCGGTGTTTTTGAAGGGCTTTCAAAGCCAGGTCTTCAGTCTCGAAGAGTACGAACGCGTCTCCAGTGGCTCTGCCATCGGATTTGCGGACAAATAGGACGCCCTCTTCGCTATGCATTACTTCACAACTATTGTCTCCGTTGGCGAAGAATTCAATCTATTTGTTACACAACAACAAGTTTTGTGAGTCGAAAAAGTTTGGACAAACTTAGGGAACGGGTAGTACTGACCACTTGTTGAGCGGTGCAATCGTAGGGCAGTCCCCGCATCCGTACAATCACTTGTCCGCCACGGGAGAGGAAAGCCTGCGCCTCGTTATTGTTGCCTGAATTGAAATAGAGATGAGTTTTCACTTGCGGTTCACTCAATGGTAAACTATTTTCTAATTGCAATTTCGCACAAAAGTTGATTAAACGGTAATTCATGTTCGCGTTATTCACACACGGATTATAAAAGTGATAAAAATTCATATTATTATTAGCCGGAACAAAGTTTGGCACAAATGGACCGCTCATTAGAGTCTGGTTTATGGGTTCATACAAATTCTGGTTCATTAGACCGACACGAGTGGCAGACATCACTACTTCCAGTGGAAATGGATTCACACTTTCACTCGAAATGAATTGTTTTTTAACTTTCAGTTTTTCAGTTTTTACTGAAGAGAAAGTTTGTTTGCGATATGAAAAACAATTGAACTAAAGAATGGTGAACTAAATGATAACAGAATTACTACTAGTAATAAGGGTTTTGAATTCAAATGTCTGTACTTTCATCGCATATCTGTTATCAATGAATGCGCAGAAATACATTTAAAAGGAGCCAATATTGCCATTACTCGACGTAAGTGATAATTAATGAGATATCATCGACCACTGTATATATATTGGTATCACTTTCCTAATAGACACCTACAGTACCACCACTCTGCCACTTACGAGTACCTAACCCAAGGCCTAGTTCTTTGGTTATTATTGGCAAACCATATAAACCATGTGCTCTTCGCGAACCACACTCTCATTTAGACGTTAAATACGATAACTAATTAAACATTTGAAAAAATGTTATAAGTTTTGTCATCTGTTTTGGCAAACTATCAAATTCTAACTATATTTTCATTATTATTACTATTACTATTTTATTGAAAATTATCAATTTTTCGCAGCAAAAAACTATATTAATATCTTATTAACTGCTTTTTTAAACTTAACTAACTTTGAGATATTCCCAAACCTAAACACTTCATATTATAATTATTAATTATAAAAACTTTATACAAGTGTTTTTAAATTCACTATTAAAGAGAATTTTGTCGACAAAATAACGAAAACACATTTCATACCTGATTTCATATCCAGACATTAAAATTATTTTTTCAAACATTAAATTAACTCAAATTAAAGCATATTTGGCTCTAAAAAAAGGAAATTCAAAGAAAATCTCAAATCGCAAGCAATTATACAGACGAGAAATTCAATGATAATATTTGTGCTGACTTTGAAGAAAATGTTGATTTTAATCAATTATAGTCTTATTTGGTGATTAGTTTCCAAATTAGTAATATAGTTAACATTTTGGAAAATGCTAATCAAATGCTAATAAAATGCTAAATAAAGTGATGACAAACCTCCGGCAACATTGACAAAATCGTCGCCATTGGCCCGATAGACCTCGATATATCTCTGGCCAATGTGGTGCTTATGCCTCTTGAGTGCCATATCCCGGTGCTCTTGGTTTATGAATCGCACCAACGCCTCACCATTTCGACGGCCCTGAGGGCTCAGACACAGCGCAACACCGCCTCTGAAAATATGAACAAAACATATAAGAATCGGTCCTTTCTTTCATTTGTTAGTCATTTACTGTTTCGCAAACTTTTTACTATTCATTGTTCTTCTTTGAGACATTATTTTACAGATATTTCACGAGTTTTGACTGTAATTGGATATAATTTGCACACAAAAATTGCTTTATTTTAAAAATGACAGTATATCTGAATTATAAGTATAAAGTTTATATCGATACTAAATGTTATTAATATAAACTGAGACTCTCTCTCTCTCTCTCTCTCTCTCTCTCTCTCTCTCTCTCTCATGAAACTCATGAACACAACAACAGAATAATAAATTTTTCAGAGATGAAACATAGCCTCAAGTTTTCATTAGTTTACCCGAAAGTAATAGAAATCTTTGTCTTTCAATATCTCAAAGGATTTAATGGTCACGAGAAGAGCACATGAATTGACCCAAACTCAAACATCTTTGCATTTACTGTCAGTCCGGGGATAACACTCTCAACGAATACAGTGTTAGGATTGCAAAGAGGATAAGATATTGAGATTCATTAATGCTATGAATTTCATAGATTTTCAAAATAAACACCAAATGTTTGCTTAAATTATTCCTTAAATTATAATAAATAAGTAGATATTTGTATTAAAATTAAAAGCTAACAATAGTATAACTACGGTTAATAATAAGAATAATAAAAGTTATCTAGTTTTTAGTTATCTATTTAACAAGTTTAAAAACTTTTCATGAGATCACTTTTTATCATATGCCGGTAATTGAAAAATTTGCCTGCTAAAAGATATTATACACGTGTACACGTGTAGTATACATTCTGGAAAATATAATTTTCGATAACTTAAAAATGTACATCAGTTTGAACAATGAATAACTTGTATCTTAATATTTAAAACCAATAACTATTTGGTGTTAAGACATACATAAGATGGGAGTTTAAGTCTATGTTCGCAACAAACTTGAAGTTCAATCAAATCGGACTCTTTCTCAAACATTAAATAATGTTATCTAAAAATCATTAAAATCTTTACAGTTTAATGTTTATTATAATTGTTGTTACAATTAATTTTCTTTTTATATTGAACTGATTTAATTTTTCAATCAAATGAGATTTTTCATTTTCATTTTTTCTCTAAATTTTTTTCTAAATTCACGGAAGACATGGAGAGAGAGAGAGAGAGAGAGAGAGAGAGAGAGACTAATGAAGAGAAGGGCCGGTAATGAAAGCCATTACGACTCGCATCACGTTTTCATTGGAAAGTAAAAAAGAAAATCAATGTCTTTAATGTTCACTTATTATAATTCAAATGTATAGTTATGATCAAAAGACTAATAATTTCTAAAACACTGCTTACACTTAACCTCAGTTTTTTGGAAATTAGAAAAATTCATTAAAGTATGTTGTGCTGAATCTCATTATACGTATAAATGCTATTATAACTGATATCAAGCCTTATATCATATATGAAAGAATTATCTCTGGGTGTAAGTAAACTCATTATAATTATGTTTTTGTATCAATTATTCTCGATATCGACTATAAATACAGTATTTATTGTATATTTATGGCTGTTTTATGAATAAAGACGATAATCACATCAAAGGTATGGGGAAAGTTGTCTCTGAAGCTCCACCAAGTTCAATAAAAACACTGAATAAAAGAGTAAAAAAATGGAAATCCATAACTTGTGAGAAAGTGCGTCCGACTCCTAGTATATCTTCAATTACTATACCCTTGAACTGAGAGAGAATTGAGAGAAAATTTCACTAAACTATCATTTCTTGGGAACTGATAAGAAAACTACTTTCGGTTTGAAAAAAGTTATTCTCAAATATCAAACAGCAATTCGTTTGATCAGAGTTTCAAATATACGCTGACATAACAACCGACACAACAAACTGATAATCAATTGATAGACAACTCTAATATTAAACACTTTTTGTTGGCTTATATTAAATGATATCTAAGTTATACAATAAAAGTATTTAATACCCGCTTTTATTATATACAATATCACTGTATATTTAAGCAACTCCACTATAAATTGACAATAAATTATGATAATTAAGTAAATATTGCATAAATGTGTGAATCTGTGATATCTAGCTCTAAAAAGTCATATAATTAATTGAAATATTCATTATAATATAAATAGATTAAAATATAATGTAGATAATTATTACCAATTCATTCAATTAAAAGTGATATTTAATAGGGTGTATTGGCATAAAAATATAAATTATATTAATAGAGTAATTTGATAAGTGTTGTCATAATCTTATTTAAACAGTATTGACATAAAAATAAAATTATATACTATACGTTAAGGGATGTGATATTTCATATAAAATGTCTAATAGTACAGTATTACTATATTAATACCGTATATATATTATATAATGAATTTTTATAAGAACTTTTACATAAACAAAAAGTTATATAATTTTTGATAAGAATTTGATAATCAATTCAAAACTCAATGCATTCTTACGTGGATTAAGAAATCAAATCTAATTATAGATCGAGAATTAATGAGTAAAACTTGACTTGTTGGAAATTGTCTTTTTAGGATAAAACTGAAATTGAGATATTAGTCAAATTGGATCACTTTATCACATATTAAAACACACTTCAGGGAGAAATACAACCGAATGAATGAAGAGAAAAAATATAGTGTTTTAGAGATTAACAGATGTAATGAATGACGGCTTGGCGTCAATTAATTGGGAACAATATCAGTGGACCCGGAGGCCAGTCATCCACACTTTTGCTTTTATGCAAGCTCAATATGTTATTCATCCCATCTGTTTTTCATTTACAAAGTAATACACTGTTTTCATATCTATTATGATACATAATAATCTATTATTCAAACCATTTAATCTGCCATTAATTACAAAAATTATCAAAATTCAAAAATTATCAAATTTAATCAAAGTTTAAAATGAATAACAAAATATCATATAATTTGTATAATAATTTCAAGTAAGAATTAACTGAATTATTGTAGTGAACAGATAGTGTCCACAAGTTTGAGTTTTGTATTTTCATACCCTTTGGTACTCGTAATGCAAACAATTGATGGCTAAGAAAGAGAAAGAAATTCCTTTCACAGTATGAGTCCTGAGAACTCACAATACAATACAAGTCCTTCAGACAGGTCTAACCATTTGTATTATTTTAAAGTCAATTTTATCAATACTTTCAAACAATGACATTTCAAAACTAAAATTTTTTTAAAACTTATGAGGGTTAAATAATAAATATTTATCTAAATATTTAATAAAACTGAATTAAACATATTATTAAAATGACTAAAATGTTTATACATGAAGTTAATATTATTAAAATTAATTAAAAATAAATATATTGAATAGCATTTGGAGAATAAGTATTAAATGATAACTAGTTATGTGGAAAGTGTTAGTGAGTTAACTATTAAGCCATCAAAACAATATAACTGATAGTAAATCGTATTTCACGGATCATATTCTGTCTGAACGCCCACTGCTTTATGGCTCACAAAACACTCAAATACTACTGAAAATAATGAGAAGACATTAAATAAATTATTCTTCAAATTGTTGTAAATAAAGGAATCAAAAAGACGATGAAAATTATGACAACGTTTACAACAATCTTAATGTCTTTATTAAGACTTGTTTAAAAGTGATTTGAAATTATATTCCTAAAAATAGCTTTGAATTTATTCTTTTTATGCCTTTTATTGTTACAAATCTTCAAACCATATCCAGAGATTCAAAATTTAATATAAAATTGTACGTTATATTGTCATTAAATATTGCTAAATGTATTTGATAATGGCTAGAATTATTAATATTACATTTATAACTTGAATATTAGAGAAATATTCTATTAAGTTAAATCTTTTTTATATTAAATAGATATGTCGGTAATTTAATAATAATTAGTTTTTGTCACTAAATACTCATTCCGTGGTGAGGATGTAGTGATGAGACCATCATTTGTTACATTTGGCATTAGAATAGACCACATTTGGATTGAATGTTGCAAATATGCTCTCTATTAATACAAGTGAAGTAAAATTAGCTTTAGTTTTACACAACACCTGTGAGTGCACTACTAGAGCGTTGGTTTTGCAGGTGGCAGAGCATAGGAACATCTGAGGGATGCATACATATTGAATGCTGAATACAATTGTATAAATGTTTTATACATTAGACTCACCTAAATATCAAATAAAGTCAATGCAAAAGCCATGAAAATTGAGTAAAAAGTATTTACTAAAAACCAAGAATAAAGACCGGTATTAGTCGTTGAACACAATGTTTCAGTTTCAAGCTTATGATATGACTCTCATTAGAGTCTTCCTAACAGATGTGTCCTTAGGAGTGAAAGTTGACGACTTTTTTACTAAGTTT